AAAAAAAAAACTTTAAATAAGCTATTCTGTGCTTTGTTTTTTCTGTACTCTGTGTGTTGGTCTTATGGAAGCATACTTTCTTTCAGGATATACTTCTTATTAATGTGGTGATTGAACAAATGATCTGTGATACTGACCCTGAGCTGGGAGGTGCTGTTCAGTTAATGGGACTTCTTCGTACGCTAATTGATCCAGAGAACATGTTGGCTACAACTAATGTAAGAACTCACACTGAGACTAAAAATGCTTTGGCCTAATCCATCTTAAATGGTTTTATAATAAGAGTTTTAGAAACATTAAATACTTTGATAAGTATTTGCTTTTAAAAGCAATGGTATTTTTCTAACAATTAATTTTTAGTAAATATAACATTGTTATCTGTTCAGTTCCTTTTTTGTTAAGTTTTTCTTTATTTACTGGGGGTTAGAGGCTATTCATGGAGGTTCAAGGAGAACTTACAGGTGTTAGCTCTGTACTTCTAACTTAGGGGACCCAGGAATCAAACTCAGGCTTGATCATGCTTAGCAGCAAGTGCTTTTACCTGCTGAGCTACTCCACTGGTCCAGAAATACTAATTAGAGTGAGAATTTAATTTTTGTTCCTTGGGTTCTGTGTGCTAACTTATTTTTTAAAAGTTGAGCATAGCAATGTGAACCTACTAATAATGCTTAACTGTATTTTAAGATGCCAAATAGGGTGACAAATTTTATTTTACCTTGTTATCACAGTAAAAAGCAATAAAATTGACATAAACTGAAGGTTGTTAATTATGTAAATCATGAAAGGTTCAAGGAAGTTCCCAGAATATTAATAGTGGTTATTTCAATATAAGAGACCACCTTTCCTTAATAAAATTCTCTCATAATTAGAGAATACATACATTATTTTAAAATGGTTATATTAGTTGGACCAATCATTTAATAAACACTGGTAGAAATTAGAAATTGTTTTCTAAATTACAACTTTCAGTCTTTAAGAAACATTTGAATTTCATCTTTCCATTTAGTAGCTTGATAAATTTCATCAGTACTTTTGCAGATTTGGATAGGCAGTGAAATGTAGGACCACAGTGCCTCTTACACAGGCATGCGTGCGTACACACACACAGGGAATGAACCCAGGACCTTGCACATACCAGTCAGATGATTAGGCACCAAAGCGCATTCACAGTCCTCAGACTCCAATTTTTAATCACCTAAAGCATTTAAAAATCATAATCCCCATGCTAGAAAGATGAGTTGGTAGATGGGAGCATTTGGTGCTCTTACAGAAAAAGAGCAGAATTCAGTTCCCTGCACTCATGTTACAAGTTTATAACCACCAAGGAATCCAGTCTCCCTTCTGGCCTTTATTCACACACACACACACACACACACACACACACACACACACAACCGGAATGAAAATACATTTTTTTAAATCATAATCCTCACAATCTCCACGTACCCAATGTGTTCAGCGGGTTAGTAGGCTCCATTACACTTCAGATAGCAGCCTTTGAAAAAAATTGTTATGAATTTCCCCAAAAAAACTGTTTCTACTTTTTTTCACTTTCACTTTTATTTAATGTCTGTCAAATTTGAATTATTAGACTTAATATCTATGGAATTCAGATTGAAGTATATGTATCTACATTGGCTTCTTTGACTCTAGGTAGTTTGGGATTCTTTCATATTATCTTGAAGGACTGTTGTTAAGAGTGTGGCCATCACTGCTAATTCTTGAAGATATCTTTAAATACCAAGGTGATAAAGTATTCTTTTAAATATTTTATTTCAGAAAACTGAAAAGAGTGAATTTTTAAATTTCTTCTACAACCATTGTATGCATGTCCTCACAGCTCCACTTTTGACCAATACGTCAGAAGACAAATGTGAGAAAAGTAAGTTCTCTTATTTATGTGCTTATGATGGCCATAAAGCATTACTTGATGCTTTATATGACAGGGAGGTAAGTTATTACTGAAAGGTTTAAAGTGCATTATGAAATCATGATTGTCCTTTGTTCAGAACTATCAGTGCATAATATGTGGTACAAGGATTTGCTTCTTAATATGTATTTTTTGTTGCCTTTCCATATTTGTTGCCTAAGTTATACTCATAACTTATTACTGCCAGTTTCTTGTTTATGAATTAAAGTAGAATGGAAACAAAGATAGTTTTGAAGTAATCTGAATACAGAACTGTTTAGGCATTTGTAGCTGTATAGGCCCAATTTGGCATCAGTTTTTGGTTTATTACAATAAACAATGAAAGGAAGCCATGGCCAGATGTGGTGGCAACAGTATTATAATTTCAGGACTGAGAGGTGGAGGCAAGGTGGATCAGGAATTCAAAGCCAGGCTTAGCTTAGTGCAAGGCTAGTCTGGACTAATGAGTCCCTGTCTTAAGGAGGCCGGGGAGTCAGTCAAGAAAATGTTTGTGAAAGAAATTAATAAAAATTATAACAGGCATACCTTATCTAATAACTCTAATTGCTTTCTGATTATATACCCTAAGAGGTATTTTTACATTTTCATTGTAGGTTCAGGACCATTACTATATTACTTACTATAGGAAAAGGAACAGATTGTAGAGTATCTGTATAATGGAAGACTGCATTTAAAATAATTGAAATGAATGTTGATGTAGCAACTTAGTTATTAAAAATGCAAAGTTAAGTAACTTTAAAAGGGCATGTTCCAGAAGATTTTTGTTACAGTATATAAGTTAAAATACTGCATTTTAATGTTCATTTTAGCACTTCTTCCATGGGCAAAATATAGCTAATTCTATTAGTGGATACTTATATAATACCTTTATCAAAACTAACTTAACATACTTCTTTTCTGATTAAAAAAGAAAAACTGTAGAATTGGGATTTTCTGTGTACCCCTTCACCGTCTCAGGCGCACTCTACTGTAGTCTGCAGTTCCTGAGGTTCTACCCGAGAGTTTTTGTCTTTTGTGTTGGCTTGTGTTCTTATGGTGTATGTAATATATTATTTTTCAACTTCAAGGTTGATTTAAATTTACTTCTATTATCGGTATTACCCTATTTTTGAGATCTGTTTATAGTGATATCTAGGTTTCTTAGGTACTTTAAATCTTGTATCGTATCTATGAGTATTAGCATTCTTGTCCCTGTGTACATTTGTTTCATGCTTTCTCCAGTTGTAAATAATGCTCCTGTAAACATTCTTACATTCCCTGTACAGATGAGCTTATATGTGCTCTAGGAAGAATAATTTTGCCAGGTACATATTTTTAGCATAAATACATTGTTAATATGTGTGTTGCTCTGAGAATTTGAACTTCCAGTATTTTGTGTTTTTTTAATACATGATGCAGAAACATATCCTAGTTGTTATGTTGAATAAAAGAAAGTAAAATAATATTTGTCAGTCTTGCTTGTTTTTAATCTCACCTTTTTTGTCAGTGCGTTCACTGTTACTATCTTTTTTCCAGTATTTGTGAACCAGACTATGTAGGCGGTCACTGTGTAGACCATGCTAGCCTCAAACTTAGCAAAATCTGCTTGCCTGTCCTTGCTGGGACTAAAGGTGTGCACCGTTATGCCTGGCTCACCATTATATTTTAATAATCTACCTCTGCACCTAAGTCTGTAAAAGACATATAATATTTGGCCAAAGCAAGCAATTTAACAGTTGTAATGAAATTCAAAAGAAATTATGAATGAAGATGTGTGTATTGTAAAACATTAGGTGAATGTAAAATATTTTTAACTAAAGTACTGAAGTAGGTGATTTTTTAATTATTATTTATTTAGTTATTTATTTATTTATTTTTAGATGATATGCTTGGATCTAACAAAACCAACACAATTTGCCCTGGTAAGTATATATTCATAATTTATGAGTACAAATTATGCATTTTTTCTTAATTAATACATACATTTATGTGGAAATAAGAAAAACCTTTTTTAACATAAAAATAAAATCCAAGCACAGATTTGCTTTATTATTAGAAGGAAGCTGTTGTGCTTTCTAGCTCTAAAAGATGAGAAACAGATTGTTTCCTCTGTAAACTTGATGTTGTTTTGATATTGTTTGAGGAATCATTAATTGTAAGTTGATGATGTAGTTCTTATATTTAGATGTTACTGACTGTGCTTGGTTAAGAGCCCAACACCAGCACAGTACTGTACACACTGCCTGCTTCTCCTTAGAATGTGCACTCACGGTGGCGCCTGGTAATATTGATGCTGCCTGCTTTTACCATTACATTTTTTCTACCAAGCATATCAAAGGAAACAACAGAAACCTCTAGAAGAGCTTTTACTTCTGGAGAATGTTCAGAGATTGAATTAAAGTGATAGATCACTGTTTTAAATATCTTTTGTACGGGCCTGGAAAGATGGTACATTTTCATGAAGCAGGGTGTCTAGAAGAGCAACCAAAAGGTAGCTTCAGTGACCCTAACGTCATGAGTATATTCAAGGTTGTTACTGATGAGATCCCAATGGCAAAGTGTTTGCTTGATACTTAAGTAGCAAAACTAACATTTTCTTAATGATGGAATTTTTTTAATGTTGACTTGCATTAGGAGCTGCCAGGTGTCTCAGTTGGTAAAGAAACTTACACTTGGGCCTATGTTCTGGTCTCCAGATCCCAAAAGCTGCAACCGCAGCCATGTCTGTACTCACACACATGCAGAAACCAATTTAAAAGAAATTTGCCTTGAGCGGCTTCAGACAAGAACTTTGAGGTCTTTCCTCTTTGTTGTACCATTTCGTGGATTGGTTCATATTTGCAGTGGTAGCACTAATAAAGGAAGAATTTTTAGGAAAATGTCAAAGTGACAAAAGTTTTGTTGGCATATTTTTAAACACTCCTTTATTTGCATTTCTTTTATCTTTTTCTCCCTATTCCACCCCAATCCCTTCCAACACCCCAACACCAGGTAGGAGAAAGGGTTCGTGGGAGAGGGGGTGCAGTTCTCTTAGCTGCTGGTTAGGGTAGTCGGATTCCTTGAAGCCAGTTCAATCTTCCTTTAAGGAGGTCTCCAATTTCTTGTCCCACAACAGCAACCAGGAGCAGCAAGGGGGAAGCAGGAGCAGCCTTGTTCTTTCTCTGATCTCCATACTCTCTGGGCTGTGGCATTTATTTTCTCTCTAGAGTCCTCAGATTTAAACTCTCTGCAACTGGCAAAGAGCTCCCTTCAGAGCCGGCATGTGTCAAATAGTCTGCTGCTGTGGACCATCTGAATCAGTCCCACACCCCACACCTGGGACCAAACAAAAACATGTTTGTATCAACAACAGGCTTTATTATCACATTTGTAGTTAGCCTTTTTTTTTTCCTGTTACTACATTTTTTAAGAGTCTACATATATACAAGTAGTATGTATTTATGTATGTACCTTTTTTAAGTGATGTGAAATGTAGTTTTGCTCTAAGATACAGGACGTATCTACTCTATTTGGATGTATGATATTTATTCTCACAAAACACCTTTCTTTTGTAGATAATTATCAAACAGCACAGCTACTTGCCTTAATTTTAGAGCTACTCACGTTTTGTGTGGAACATCACACATACCACATAAAAAACTACATCATGAACAAGGACTTGCTGAGAAGAGTCTTGGTGTTGATGAACTCAAAGCACACTTTTCTGGCTTTGTGTAAGTAACAATTTAAATGAGCACTTTTGTTAAAAAAAAAAAAAAAATTAAAGAAAGAATTTAGTAGACATAAAAGCCAGTTACTCATATGAAGTCATCCGCTTATTAGCAGTATGTGTGATGTTAATGAGATGGCTGAGAAACACAACTGCTTCTGCATTGTATTCTGTTATGAAAGATCAAGAGAGCTGGAAAGTAGTGGCTTTTCACGTGCACATTGCTTACATTTAGATTTGGTAGAATTAACCTAGGTTTTGTTGGAATACAATACCATGTGCAATAACAGCATTGCTTCATAGAATTGTTCTGGTATGTTGGAGTTTCATCAAACTATCATGTTTTATATTTCTGCGCGAGTGCGTGTGTGTGTGTGTGTGTGTGTGTGTGCGCGTGTGTGTGTGTGCGCGCGCGCCTGTGTGTCGGCCTTGAGCTCATTATGTACCTAAGGGTAGCCTTGAATTTACTAATCTTCCTTCACTCCTGAGTACTGGGATTATACTGATTCCAGTTTACGCAGCTCTGGGTATTGAGCTGAGGCCATTGAGCATGCTAGGCAACCTACCACCTGAGTGACACTGCCAGTCTCATTTGCTACTTAATTCTCTTAGTTTTCTTTATTTTTCTGTTCTTAAAATAGCCAGTGTTGGTGGGTTTGGTGGCTCTCACCTATTATCCAAGCACTTGGAAGGTGGAGGCAGAAAGATCAGGAATTCCAAATCATTTTTCAGTACATAGCAATTGACTAGTTGGCCTCGAAAATGAGACCTTGTCTCAAAAAGGACAAAGCAAGCAAAAAAATTAATGTTAACAGCCTATATTTTTTCTGTTTTTTTTTTTTTCTGGCCCTGTACAAATGTACATAAGCATGCTCATAGATATATATAGGGCTTTTTGTTTTTATCTCTGTACATTTCTCTGCCTTTTGGCACCACTGTAAATTATTTGCTCTTATTTTTTCTTTCTACTAATATCTAAATAATATTTCATAGTATGATTTCCGCAAACATTTACCATTCTTTAAAACATATATTAAAAAGTTGTTTTTCTTTTTCACTAAAACTACACTGTTTAATATAAGAATCTTATATGCTAATGTGTTTCTCTAAGATCCATAATAATAGGATTGGCAGGCAAAGTCATTTGTGTACTTTTTCATATATTCTTTTTAAATTTTAATATCTACCTACCAGGTTACTTTGCCAAAAGATGAAGCACATAGTATTTTTCCAATGCCCTATAATGCCACACTGATGAAGAAATAAATAAATGGCAACAAGGCACATGGCCTCACTCTTGAAGTTGCAAGCTAGCTTGGTACACATTATATAGTTCAGGCTTATCTTGAACTCATGGCAGTCCTTCTGCCTCAGCCTGGTCCTGAGATTATAGCCAGGTCACTACTCCCAGCTGTATTACTAATTCTTAAAATTGTTGTCTAGTGATGAAAATGTGTTGTAGTTTTGTTCTAATTTGTATTTCCCTCAAAGGATATTTTCATATATTAATATAATTTGTGTCTTTATTTTTTTTGAGACATAATCTCCTGTAGCCCAGCAGACCTCATTTGCTGTATAGCTATGGATGATCCTTATATTTCTGCCTCCACTCCCAAAATCTTAGGATATAGGTCTAAGTCATCATGTTCAGCCTAATTTACATTTTTATCTGATGTGAACTGCAGGTTATCTTCTTTCATAGAACGCTTTGTGTGTTATAGTTTGTTTTAGAAGGAGATGTTCCAGTCTTACTTACCTTTTATTTATGATGTTTTCCAAGTAACTTTTAAAAAGAAACAATCTCTCTTGGAACTGGAATATGGGTCTGTTGAGACTTGCAAGCACAAGGACCTGAATTGGATGCCCAGAAACATGTTCAGGGCTATAGTGATGTACACACGTATGATACTATTTCTGGGGAGGCAGAGGCAAGAGCATCTCTGAGGCTTGTTGGCCAGCCAGTCTGTTCTGATCAGTGGGCTTCAGTTTTGCAGGATATCTGATCACACTGTGAACCCCAAGATTATGTACTGGAAAAACTTATTTCTAGTTATGGTATTAACTCAGCCCTAGCACACACCTTTGAAATACAAAGGACAAATAGAGAGATGCACAGGAAGTAGAAAGGAGGGACAATCATTTTTCTAAATTTATTTATTGTTTTATTAATTACAGTTTATTCACTTTGTATCCAAGCTGTAGCCCCCTCCCTAGTTCCCTTCCAATCCCACTGTCCCTCCCTCATCTTCTCCCATACTCCTCCCCAAGTCCACTGATAAGGGAGGACCTCCTCCCCTTCCCTCTGATCCTAGTGCATCAGTTCTCATCAGGAGTGGCTGCATTGTCTTCCCCTGTGGCCTGGTAAGGCTGCCCCCTCCCCCAACCCCATTCCTGGGGAAGGTGATCAAAGAGCAGGCCACTGAGTTCACAGTAGGGAACACACTTGGAGACTTAGCTGCCATGGGCTACATCTGTGAAGGGGTTCTAAGTTATCTCCATGAGTGGTCCTTGGTTAGAGTATCAGTCTCAGAAAAGATACTTGTGCCCATAATTTTTTCCCTCTCTCTCTCTCTCCTGTGGAGCTCCTGTCCCCTCCGTATCTTATGAAAGAAGAGAGGGACAATCATTTTGAAGGGTTCTTAAGACAGCAAGGAGAAGGAGAAAAGGCTTTTCTCTTCTGGGTCTTCAGTTGAAGAGGAAGGTCAGCTGGGTGCTTTCTCTGCCTCCCCAGGCTAACAGGTTTTCATCCCAGCATCTGGCTCCCTCCTGAGTCTTTATTGGTAAAACTGGATGTTTGGGATTTTGTTTTAAAAACAGCACTTCAGGACAATGAGAGATCATGTCTCAAATAAGGTGGATGACACCTGAGATTGCCCTCCAGATTCTCCATGCGCACCTCTCACACAAATACAGCATATGTTGACACATAAACATTTTTAAAATGCTTCATGAAGTTTTATAAATTTAGTTTGCTTTCCTTTTATTTATGTTTGGAGTTGTCATGCTTAGGAACGTTTCTGTTTTCTAAGGTGATACAAATTTTCTCTTCAGTATTTTCCAGCATTTTTATTATTTCCTTTTTAGTTTGCATATGTAATATCTGAAATATATTTCAGGATGTAGTATGAGGTGGTAGTCTAAGTAGCTAGCCACCTATCCAACACCTTAATTAAGTATTTTCCATAGAATGAAAATGCCACTTTTACCGTGCAGTAAACTAACAAAATACTTGTGTATTATTTTTGTAATATCTATAATTTAATCTCGTCAGATGAAGTAATAACTCTTATTTTCATTATATAATATTTCTGTGGAAGACTTAATTGCCTCCCTTTTGATTCTGCCCCTTAATTTTCATAATTTTCCTAGTCATTTATAGACGTTCTTTAACTGTAACATAAAAGTTTATTCAGTTCATCTCATTTGGAATTATATTTGTACACTAATTTTGGAAGGATTTGTGTTTTCATAATAGGTTTTCCACAAATAATCCTGTAGATGTTTGTAGATTATACTATTAGTGTAAACATATCCTGATTGGATGAAATTCCAGTATATATGTGTTTGTTT